CTATTTTATTTACGTATTAAATCATTCTTTCTTTTATTCAATAATTTTATCACTTTTACATTTCTAAATTATTTCATTTAAAAAATAATTTTAAAAAAAAGTTTAAAGTTATTAATGTTTATATTTCTTTTTCCACTTTAAGAAAATCAATTTTGGTTTATTGAAATTATGTGTATAATCAATAAATGATAAAATTATTGAATATCACTGCTGAGTATCTATAGGTAAGGTCTTATTGTTTCTTGGCAACTAGCTCCGGACCTCCGGTGCTGGACATGTTTTCTACGTACAGTGAATGAGTCAAACCTCATGATTCGAAATGCTGGCAATTCTATTAATTCTATTAATTCAGAAGCGTTAAGATAGAGATTTATTAGAGGTTGACTCGAATTCAAAGTGGCATAAATTAACCAATCAATGCTCAAACTTGATTGTAGGAAACGGTTTGATCATCATGTCTGTAGAATTGTCATGAGTGCTGACTTTGCTCACAATAATGTCACCTTGAGCAATTACATCACGCACAAAGTGGTAACGGATATTAATATGTTTCGTCCGCTCAAGAAACATTTGATCTTTTGTTAAGAATATAACACTCTGTCACAAAACACCATACTGATTTGAAGGTCTTAATTTAGTTCACCAAAAAGTCCTTTCAACTAGATTGCTTCCTTACAAGCTTCAGTGATCGCCAAGGCGACTTTACTCTAAAGAATGGCTTTCCAACTAATGGCACATCCTTCAACCGTGAAGAAATAACCCGTAAGCAATCTTCTTTTATCAAAATCTCCCGTAAAATCAGAATCAACATACCCCACGACTCTATATCTAGTTCGCCCGAACTGCAGACAAATATCACTAGTACCGCGAAGATACCTAAAAATCCATTAGTTAACTTTTCAATGTTCTTTACCGGGCCATGTATCTTTAATGAACTCACAACGTATCCAAAAGTTAGACGCGTACAAACTATAGCATACATTAAAGGTCCTACTAAATCTAGATACGTACAAACTATAACATACATTAGAGATCTTACTGCACTAGAATATGGAACATGTGATATATATTCTACCTCCTCTTCTGATTTGGTAAACAATCCGATGAAAGTCTAAAGTGAGTGGCCAGTGGAGTTCTCATAGGCTTCACACTCTGCATACTAAATTTGTGAAGAACCTTTTCAATGTACCCCTTTTGCATTAGGTACAATTTACCTGTTTTTCTATCTCTTTTAATTTTCATTCTGAGTATCTTCTTTGTATGACCAAGATATTTCATCTTGAACTCCTTTTTACTTGGGTATTCAATTGTTTAATCTATTATTTATTATTCCCAACTATCAACATATCATCAACATAAAAAAGCAGATATATAGGTAAACCATCACAACCCTTTTTGAAGTAAACACAAATATCAAAGTTACTTCACTTAAACTCAAAAGAAACCATGAAGAATCAAATCTCTTATACCATTGTTTGGGTGACTGCTTAAGTTCATAAAGAGATTTCTCCAGTGAACATACATGGTTCTCCTTTCTTGAGACCATAAAACCCTCTGGCTATTTTGTGTAAATGTCTTCTTCAAGTTCATCATGCCACTACGTCATTTTTATGCCTAGTTGATCAAGCTCAAAGTCTTGCATAGCAACTATTCCAAGTAAAGCTGTAATAGAACTATGTTTTACTATCGGAGAAAACACATCATTAAAGTCATTTACTGGGATTTGACTAGATCCCTTCGCAACCAGTCTTGCCTTGTATTTGGGCTCTTCAACTCCTAGAATTCCTTCATTCTTTTTGTACACCCATTTACATTGAATAGCTCGCTTTTCACTAGGAATTTTCACTAAATTCCAAGTGTTACTCTTGTGAAGTGACTCTATTTCCTCCTGTATTACGATTATTCACTTGTCTGAGTCTTCGCAGATAACAACCTTTAAATAGGATAATAGCTCTTAGTTAGCAAAAATGTCTTCCACAACACTCAGAAAGTATGTGATTAGATCAGCCTCCACGTACCTTTACGGTTATTTGATTTCTCTTCTAGGTCTATTTCGTGTAATAGACGGTGACAGACCAGCCTGTTGTAAAAGAGTTCTATTCTCTGTGAGTGTATCAAACGTGGACCCTGTTTCAAAATGAATCTTCATGTTCTTCTATGTGATATCTAATTCCTGTGAATTCTTGGTAGTTTCATTAAGGGACGATCCTCACAACATAGCAGATTCATCAAATATCATATCTCTATTAATATCTATCTTTCTAGTTTCAAGACACCACAATTTATAGTCTTTTACTCCCAATTTATATCCTATAAAGATATAATTTATGGATCTAGGCTCCAATTTACCATCGTTTCCATGAGCATACACAAGACAACCAAATATCTTCAAATTAAAATAATATGCGTGCTTACCAATATCATATTTCTTGCGGAGTCTTTTTGTCAATGGCCATGGACAGAGACATGTTAATCATAAAACATGCTAGTGAAGTCACTCCAGCTCATAATGACTTAGGTAGACTAGCATTGGAGAGCATACAATGAACCCTCTCCATTATCATTCTATTCATTTGTTCAGCAACTTTGTTTTGTTGTGGTGTATAACAGACCGTTAGATGTCTCACAATCCTTATTTCTTGCATATCACATTAAATTCTTCTGAACAAAACTCTAAACCATTATCACTACGTAGATGTTTAACTTGCCTTCTAGTATATTTCTCAATCATTGTCTTTCGGTTCTTGAACACAATGTTCGTAAAACTCTAGCTTGCAAATTTTTTGACCATCAAGGAGACCTCTTTGACTTAACTCTGACATGCCAAGTTTCCTCATATGCCCATGCGCATATGCCAAAGATTGGTTACAAATCTCTCTGACAATGTGGATGATGCAACAACATCAACACCAGTAATTGTAAACCCTTGAAGAACATACAACCTTATATTATTTTTCTTTGCCTTCATCACAACAAGTGAACCTTTATTAACCTTCAAAACTCCACCTTCAACATAGTACTTATACCTTTTGTGTCAAGAGTACTTAGTGAGATCAGGTTACGCTTCAAATCAGGAACGTGGATAACATTACTCAAGGTTCTAATAATGCCATCATGCATCTTGACTTTGATACTGCCAATTTCTACAATCTTACAGGATGCATTATTACCCATCAATATAATATCTGTTGACACAGCTTCATAGGTCATAAACCAATCGTGATTGGGACAAATGTTATAGGTACACCCAGAGTCAAGGATCCACTTATCGATCGCTATTTCATCGTCGTCAAAAGCCACTAAAATTTCACACTCAACATCTTCTGCAACATTTATAATGCCAGATCTCTCTATGGACTATTCTTCACCCTCTCTTTATCTTATTCTGCAACTTGTAACACTCTACTTTATTATGTCATTTCTTTTTACAAAAGCGGTAAGTTTTACCTCAATTGAAAGATTTTGATCTGCCAATTCCATTACTCCTAGAAGAACGTTCATCTTTTCTTCCACGTTCAGAGTTAGTCGTTTCATACACCATAAGACCCTCTATATGAGGCTCGGAACTAGATACAAGATGTTTTATCTTGTCAAACGAGTGCATACCATTGTACATTTTTTCAAGAATGAGTGTTTCACGACTGAACACAAGATGAGTATGAAGGAGGCAATGAACACAAGATGAGTATGAAGGAGGTAATGAACACAAGATGATTAATCCTAAATTTTCTTGACCATACTTCACTTCTAAAGTCTCTAGATCAGAGACAATTTCCTTGAATGTGGACAAATTCTCTTCAAGAGATGAATCCTCTGCCAACTTGAATGTCGGTCAACTCGGATTTAGGTCAGATCGGATAGACGGGTCGGGTTGACTCGCTTCTAGAAGCACACTAGGCGGTGGATAAGGCCCACATGCAATAGCTGCGTGTGAGACTGTTTTGATGACCCAAAAAAGAATGATTTTTAAAAAAAAAATTGAAGGGTTTTGAAACATTTACCAAGCTCGATTGATCACGATGAATGCTAAAAAGCTCGATTACGCTACGCCAGAAACTTGTTATTGCTCCCCTTCCATTGCAATGGTGACAAAACGAACACTGTGGACTTGAGATGACACAAGGACTCTAATAGTGTATGCAATATCAAAAACGGAGTTACGATCGGCGACGAATGGATGTTGAAGAGAGGGAGAGATTTTGTTTTCTAAAGAAAGAAATATGGTTTTGGGCTTTTTAATTCATATTTTTAAAAAATGGTAAAATCATGCCATAAATCATCTAACATTTCTTGCTTTCTTATTTGAATCCATATTTAATTAAAAGATCACTTTGATCCCCGAATCTAACTAAAATTTCAGTTTAATCCCTAGAATAAAATTAAAAAAATTAGTCCAAAATTGGGGTGTGAAAAAATTTGTAATGTGTGTTTATTTCCCTAAAAATAAATTTTGGACAATATTTCAGAAAAATTTGCCAAACATCAAAAAATTATTTACACAACACCATCCAAACACCAGAAAATAGTTTTTTAAAATTGATTTTCAGAAAATGTAATTCATTTTCTGAACATGTTTTCAATGAAACAAACAAACTCTTATAGTGTTCGTCATATCTATGCGTAGATACAAGTAATAATCAAATATTTTCAATTTATACATATTAATTTAAAATTTTATTCGTAACAAATCACGCCTAAAAAGTTATAAGTATTGTTATTTTTTATAAGATTTTAAATTTAAATAATTAAATCTATAAAATCTATATAAAAATAATATTTTATAATTATTTCAAATTATTTAAAAAAATCGATGCTAACCATTCCTTAGAATTTAAGAGCAGATATTATTATATATTCTATTTATTATTTAAATTTAAATTTATTTTAAAAAAGTTATTATTCATCATTCTCTTTAAAAAAAATTAATTCTTATCGTTATCCAACAAATTTAATCCACGTGGGTTAGAAATGGCACAGATAGCCCAGTCAAATATAGATATAAGGCCGATGGATGACCTTGTCGACTTTGCCGGTTAGATGAATACCCTGTCAAATCCGCCGGCTCCAGTAGTTTGATCATTACATTACTCCTTTTTTTTTTCTTTCCGCCGGGACGTCACGAAAAGGGGAAAAGAGAGTAAATTAGGACGGATAGAGGAACGCTACGTAACGAACAAAGGCCCAACGAGCACTGATGCTTTCCTTTGCCTCCCTTCTAGCTCCAATTCGCATCTTGCTATGCGAAATCGCAATCCTTAACCGTTCTTTGCAGCCCAAATCCAAACAAGGCATTAAGCCGAAAGGCAGGGATATAAGAAGGGATATAAGAAGGGAAAAGATGATAGCGCGATCCAATTTAGCAGACCTGTTAAGGGAGTATCAGATTCGATCTAAGCACGATTGGGCCGCTGTTTCGTTTTTCGCGTCAACCTCCAACCCCACATCTTCTAGGTAAACCTAATGCCATGATTTGCTTTTTCCTTGTTTAACTTTTATTTTATTTAAAGTTTTGCTGTTTTGAATATAAGGTAGGGGAATTTGGAATTTTTTCATGGGGTTTGATTGGATATCTCCATGCATAACGTGCTGTCTTTGAAATGTTTTCGCTCGAGCCTCTATGGAAGCGTTACCAATTTACTTACATAAGATAGGCTTTTATAGTAGAGTTTGGTTAAAAATTTCAGCTTTAGCGATTCTGACATAATTTTCCGTTTCTTCTGAAGTTTTATCTTGCATTTTATTTTCTCAGTCAATTGACATGCTAAGAATTGCAGGAAAAATTTCCTTGAAAGACTCTTGTACTAGTTAAACTATATGTTTGATAATACATTAAAGTTTGGATGGTCAAAGAAAAAGAAATTAATTTTGGATTTTCATGTAAACTGCTATTTATTCTTGATGATGTGCATCAGAAATTTTGAAAGGAGAGAAAAAATTTTAAATTGTTGATTCATTTTAATTTTCATCAGAAATAGAAATTAGGTGTCTGAAAGAAGCCTGTTGCGGGGATTGGGATAAAATTAGAGGATTTTCCTTGCTTAAAAGGAGATGAGTGTTAGTTTAGATTAATACTGCACAACTATTTAAATTAAATTTTTAATACTGCTATACTGCTATTATCTTGCTAAGCTTTGTTTTTGTAATTTTATTCCTGTAATTTATATTTTTCAAATGACTAACTGTATGATGGCAGTAGTATATGTAAATGCTTAGTTCTTGTCATTCACTCAGCTATTATGATTGTGTATCGTGTGTGTCTCGAGTTTCTTCCAAGCTTCCATGAACTATCTATAAGAGCATAATGCACCAATTGCTTGTCAATCTGCTGGCAATTGGTGCATGATGCAACTGTCTGGATTCTCTCAAATTATGTGGGCTTAGGCTAGGAGTCTTTGTGCATGTTGAACTTGCAATATGTGTACGTTTAAGATGTTTGTTTTACTTGTTCATGGAAAATATCCGTGGCCTTGATATGTTTGTACTTTTGTCCTAATTCCAAGAAGTTTTGACACGTCTTTAAGGTTATGATTTGGATTAATAAATTGTATGAGGTTGGGATCCAGTCATTAGGACATCATTGTGCTATTTGCTCCTTTCTTTCTCAAAACAAGACAAATCCTAATAGTCGGGGTTTTCTTTACTGTTTTTTGGTTGCAGGGTGGATGTGGCCTTCGTTATCTTAGCTTTTCTGGTTCTTTCAGCCGTTTCTTTATATTTTAGGCACATGCACCTTGCCTTTATCCTAGCAGGCATCGTGATGCTACTGTTCCTCTGCATAAAAATCACAAAACAAGCGAGATTGGCCAATAACAAGAAAAGAAGGATGCTGCTTCCATTATCTATGTAGAACTGCATGATCTTGAATTTGTTAAAAAGGAGCTGACAAACGAGTTAGATTTGATATGATGACCTCCGAAGTCTTAATCATGGCAAGCCCAGCGATTTGAGATTGGACAGTTGGGTGTTGTAGTTAAACTGTTGGCAGTTGAGTTCAAGCATGGTGTTTTCCTCACCGGGAATGGCGCGAACAACATTCGCCCAACTTTGTAATTTGCTTCGATTTGATTGTAGTTTAAAAGATAGCAGAGGGAAGAAATCAGTGGTGACTTGTGAGTCATTGCAGTAGTTTTGCATGTTGATGTATCCCTAAAGTTGATTTGCAACAAATCTCGAATGCACATGATTTACGGTTTCCCAAATGATAGAATTATCATTTTTAAAACGATTAGGTATGTTTAATTTATATTAATTATTTCGCCAATATCTTTTTATATTATCAGCTGAAAATATATATTTAATTTTTTACTAATCGAAACAAATAATTTTTATATAAATATAACTAAAATCATTGTATTATATATTAAAACAAAACTTGACTTAGTAAAACAATAATTAATATTGAAATATAATTAGAAAATTTATATTATGTAGATATTTTATAAATTTGATTTTGAGATTGAACTGAAAAAATCTGAATAAAAAGATACGAAGTTAAAAATTTAAATAAAAAATCAAAATCAATAATGACTGGAATCTGAAATAACACGAATCCATCCAAATAAGTCCGATTATCACCTCAACTTGCAGGGGAATCATTTTTGCAGGCCGGATGATAAAGTAGGAGGTAGATAAATTACTGGGGGCAATAGTAGAAAAATATTATTTATGCATCTCATTCCCATCATGGCCTGAGTTGGCCATTCTTTGGGCTTGGCTCGGAATGGCAATGCGGGCTCACCCGTAATAAGTGAAAAAGTGAGTGAACTAAACCATGGAAGTATGGTGAGCCCATTGAATTGGGAAGGAATGCTTAGACTATTACATCCAATCAAAAGATCAAGATTTTAAAACTAATGGTTTCATCGGTTTGTTTCAATTAAAAAAAAAAGGCCAAGTCTTGGGGGTTCCAGTGCTGCAACTATGCAAGGAGGATATTCTGGCATAGGTTATGGTCTCAAATATCAGGTTGGCCCTCGAAATCTCAAATTTATAATTTTTACCCGGCCTCTGAAAATCTAGAGATTTTAATACCTTTTAAGCTGGCAGTCAAGATGTATTTCGGATGTTAAAGCAGATACGGATCATACCAGCTTCATTACAGGAACCCTTAGTCTTAGAGAAGAAAATGAGGTTAGTGTTTGTTTGTGAATTGTATTCTGATTTGATTTAATTTCATGATTTTAATTTTCAGCCATCATATATTAGTTGAATTGAGCTGAAATCTGCGCAGGTGCATCTGATTCGGCTATCTTCTGGTGGGACGGAGCTCATCTGCGAGGGCTTATTTTCTCACTCTAACGAGATCTGGGATCTAGCTTCCTGTCCCTTCGATCAACGGATTTTCTCCACTGTTTTTTCCAATGGTAGTTTCTTTGACATTAATTTGCCTGTATTTTGGTGGACTTCATCTTCGTAACCTTTGAACAGTTTAGTCCACCTTACTTGTCTCCATTACCGGTAGGAGCCAAATAGATCCCTATTTAGGCCATTTGAGGAACACGTTAATTGTTCTTTTCTATGTGTTAGTTTTACTAGAGTTTATTTAGCTGTTGCAACAGCAATTTCCTGTATAAAAGTAAGCTTTATGGCTTAAAGATGAGACTGGTTAGATAATTTTCTTTGTTGTTGAAGGTGAATCTTATGGGGCTGCAATATGGCAGATCCCTGAGTTATATGGACAGTTAAATTCACCACAGTTGGAACGAATTGCCTCCCTTGATGAACATGTTGGTAAGATTAGTTGGTGAGTTCCTGTTTCAAAGCTTCCCCTGAGTTATTAAAGTTGTATATTTTTGCATTTTGCACTGGACATTTTTGTGAAATTTATTTTGGCTTACTTATTAACAGTGTTCTCTGGTGGCCATCTGGAAGACATGATAAGTTGATCAGCATTGATGATGAAAATCTTTTCTTATGGACTTTAGATTGTTCAAAAAAGGCTGCCCAGGTTAGGTTCTGCATCGATTGTCTTCTTATCGTCAAGAATCATTGTACTAGCATGCGGATATGCTGCCTCTAGGTTTTATTTTACATTGTGATTGTAAATAAACACTGGAATACCTTCTTCAAAGACACAACTGACGTAAATTTGTAATCGGTTGCATTGTTTACTCACTCTCTGTTTCTTTTTTCTTTTTTTTTTTGATTTTCTGTATCTGAATATATTCGATATAGCTAGAATGTCTGATATTAAATTTTGTGGTAATTTGAAACTTTGCATTCATCTAACCTGGCAGAGACATTGAATATATATCAGTGGCAGTTATCAGTAAACCAAAAATATCTAAATGCATATCTATGTTACATGGACTCAGCACTTTTGGGAGCGGGTGCCGACATAATATGTGTCAGACTCATTGCTGTGTAGTTCAACACAGCAGCCAACCTCACAGAGGTGATTCTTGGTGGTGAGGGATGTTTTGTGGTCTCAAAGCTGTGAGGAAGACGAGCAAGTGGAAAGACAAAAATAGGAGACAGGAGAAATTATGAGTGAAATTTGGTGAAAATACATCAGTTTAAGCGGTTGATGATATTTTAGCAAATGATGTGTCTGGCCCTTAGATTTAGTGTCGGATATCTGAACCGGAGTCCACATAACATTGATTGCTTATATAGTAGTTGATGCTTATTCAGATCTCATTGTGGAAATCTAGGTGCAATCTAAGCAGTCATCTAGCATGCTTCATTACTTATCTGGCGGTGCATGGGATCCACATGACATAAATGCTGTTGCGACAACTTGTGAATCATCAGTCCAGTTTTGGGATCTACGTACAATGAAGTATGTTGTATCTGTGTATCTTTGTTTCTTGATTAGATCTGAACTGTTTAATTATTATGATGTTGGTCATTTAATTTGGTGTTCTATGTCCCTTGTGATTTGACTCATTTTTCTAAATGCATGGGCCAAAATTGAAATAGATGCTATTTCATCACCTGCCTTCCTCTAACCAAAGAAAAGAGGGCAGGGAAGGAGTAATGTTGTTGCTTGTACCTTTAACTATTTAGTTTCTCCGCAGATCAGTTTTCTTAAATATTTACCTGGATATAGTTTGTTGATTGCACTTAGAGTTATGCAGTATCTGACAACAATTTTATATAATCACAGGAAGACAAATGCAATTGAGCGTGCCCATATCCGCAATGCTAACTATGATATGAAGAACAATCATATACTTGTAAGGATTCAGCTTGTATATTTTACTATTTAAAACCATCTTTTACTGGTCATTTGCACTATTGCTTTTGTATTGGCCTTTTGGTTGTTTCTATTCCAACTTCGGTTTTTAAAATGCCTTTTGAGGGGCATGAGTTAGCATGTTAAATCGCTTTTTCTGTCAAACAAAACATTGTTATTTCTATAACTATGTGAAGCCAAGATCTTTCACCTGTTTTGCCTAGATAATATATGTGTAGACTGATATTATAAATTACAATTGTCAATGTGATGAGATGAGGGTGAGAAATTGGGAGGATTAACTGGTCTATTAAACTCTACTTTCATTTTGGTCAAAGCTGTGGCCAAGCACGTAATGCCTGTCGAAAATCTGCTCTGCACACATGTACACTTACAAATCTTGTTTAATCATACACAACTAGAAGAGTTTGAAGTTTTATCTCATTTATACACAGATAAACCCACAGTGCAAATGTTCATCACATTTTCTAAAAGGAAGTTTATCTATTTTGGACCACTCTTTATAACTTTTCACTGGTATGTAGAATTTGATGGGATGAGTTGATCCTTTGCATTTTTTCTATCATGAAAAACTCACTAGTAAATAATAGTTGCTGAAATCAGTAAAAGAATGGTCAACAATATAGAAATGGTGATTGTGATGTGATATGATATGAACCTATTTAAGTGAGATGGTATTTCTGCTGTTTAATACTTCTAAGTTATTATTGTCACTTTCATTACAGGTCACTGCAGAAGATGAATCTGGGATACACATATGGGATATTAGAAAGCCCAAAATTCCTGTCAAAGAGCTTCCTGGACATACGCACTGGTAATTGACTTCTACTCTCATTTGTCTTTTCTTATTTTTGAGTAACTTCACTCTTTCTATTTTCACATACGCTTGATTTATAATTAATCTCCTACATTTGAGTTTATGTTGAGCTGGTCATGTGCCACTAGAAAGAAATGGGAGTATTTAAATTCATTAATTGTAACATATTTAATAATGTTTGCAGGACATGGGTTGTCACTTGTAACCCTGAGTATGATGGGCTAATTCTGGTTCTTTCTCCCTCCCTCCCTGAACGTTCATTTTAACTAGATTGTCTCTTAGGTATAGGCATTAGGGTCTCGGTTGGATTAAACTGGTTATGAATATTCATCTGAATCAACTAGGCTTAGAAATATCCTTAGATTTAAGACACAATAAAATAAATTGCAAATTGTTGTATGTGGACGAATACGAAGGGGTTTTTTTAATGAGACCTCCAATTCTTATAAAAAAAATTGCAAATTGTTGTTTGTCGGTATATTTTAAAAATTCTTTCTTGACAAGAATTTCACGTCTACAGAGTGCTGGCACCGACTCAACTGTTAACTTGTGGATGGCTCCTGCATCCGCCGAAGATGAGGCAACTTCTGAAAGGCTGTTTTGTTATCCCTTCTCTGGAGCTTTGTACAACTTTGTGTTTTATTGGTTGATCTTCACTGATGTTTATTTCGTTTAAATTTTGTTTTGATAACAGCATAGCTGAATCACCCACTCAACAGGCTGACCCATTGCTTAATTCTTACGGTGATTATGAAGATAGTGTATACGGTAACCAGTCCTAACTCCTACCTCTGTTCTATACTATTCTTTTAAAAACTGAAAACATAATAAATCCAACAACCGTATATATTCTCAGGCCTTGCTTGGAGCAGTCGTGAGCCTTGGATATTTGCTTCTCTATCCTATGATGGCAGGGTAAGAACTATATGCAACTCAGGAAGCTAGAAGAAACATATAATTAATATAAGACTAACAGTTGGGTTGTCTCATTTAATCCAGGTGGTGGTAGAATCAGTTAAGCCATTCCTTTCAAGAAAATGAAGGTGTTATTTGTTGTCCCAATGGGATATTCTTGTGGAGAGTTTCCAAGCAGTGGTCAAGAGTGATGAAATATTTGCCGACTTATTACAGGTTGACATTAAGAGGGGTT